AGAGAGTGATCAGATCGGAGAGAACGAAGCTGTGGAGGTTGATTTTTATATGGGTTTTTCTAACCTGAGTATTAAGGTTTAAGTTAGAGGTATTTCGAACCGGATCTTGTGGCCCAATGGTTCACCCCAAATCTTAGTGATTGGCTGAGATGGTGGTCAGAGTTTCGAGTTTCATTACCATTGTGAACTCCACCAAACTACGACTTGATGGCCGCGTGCCTCATTTAAGGGGATAGAATGTTTACCCGATCTGAAAACTAACTGCTAACAATTAATTCATGAATTTCCTAACTATTACCCTTGTAAAAAAAATAATAATAAGAGGTATTTTTTTTATTATAAATATATATAAAAATTTATAAAAATTGATATTAATTTTAATGTTAGTATCGAATGAATTAATTTAAATTGAATAATTAATAAATTAAATATTAATTTTTATTTTTTTAGTATAAATTTATAATAAAAAAATATATTTAATACATCATTAACTTGTACCATTAAGATACAAGTTAGACAAATTATTTTTATATATAAGATAATTGATATACTTTTTAATTTAACATATTTTTTAATATTTATCAATTTGTTTATTAAAATATAATATAAATACAATTAAAATTTACATGTTATATGTATGATAGTTTTAAATTTATCTATTTTTAATTTTAATTAAAAATAATATTTTTAATCAATAAATATATTATATAATGTGCTAAATTAAAAAATAAACCAATAATAATCAATTTTATATTTTGCCTCTCTTTTTTTTTTTTTTTTTTTTTTAATTCAAATAGCGAAATTTTATTCTCCTTTGCTCTCCCTAGATTCCTTTTAAAACTAAACGAGCTGTAAAATCTTTAGTGTTTTTCTCCTTTTAATTAGAATGACCCAAATTGTAGTTAGGAGGCAAGAAGAAGGCAAACAAGCACCTTAGCAGCCGGGAGGAGTGGTGAGGTTGCACTTGGCCGGAAGGGCCATGGCAAGATCAGGATCAATCCCAAGAGCAGGAAGCGTCATCGAATTCTTGTAAGAGCAGAAGCACGTCAAGTCAGCTCCTTTAAGAGCCTGGCAACACTCCGGCGAAGGGTCAACCGGGTCTGGCTTCGTCACCGATGGTTTGCACGCCAGCAGACCGTCCTCGTCCATGCCACACAAATTTAATGCCCTCGAGCTTTCCAACATTCCAGTCCCAAGAACTAAGACCATGATAAAAACCGCGAAATTCTTCGCCATGGCTAGATTGCTAGCTAGCTATTAGGAAGTAGTAGTGTAGGGTGGCGATGGGTGGGTGGGGGTTTGGTGAATTTTGAACATGGTTAATGTATATTATATATGAAAGGAGGACACAGGAGGAGATGATTGATGGATGAATCGTGAACCACTGGTTAAGGGGCATCCGTGAATTAGAATTGGCGGGACTCAGGCGTCACGGGGTGCTTCTGTTCTCTTGTACGGGCTGCTGCGCTTATTGCTTATTATTAAAATTTTCTTCCATGGTTGAGAATTGAGATTGAGAATATAACACATAGAAAGGCATGCTACGTCAGCTGGAATTTAGTTGTTAGTAAATGTATTCTTATTCTAATTCAATATATATCTTTTACTAGTTATATAAAATTTAATATAATTAATTATATGCACCCGGCCTTTGAGGTCCACTGGCATTACGCCAGTGGATGCATTTCTCTTTTTTCTGGGTGGGTTCAAAACCCATCCCTGCAAAAATATTCAAAAAATAAAATAAAATATATATAATTAATTATATGGATTGAGTTTTTTGGTTCAATTCATTTTCAAAATTTAAAGCGTTTAAGTTAGTTAGTTAAGTTTTTGAGTCCCATCAACATCTTAAAAAATTTCTCTCATCCAATCTCTCAAATTATAAATTATTCAAAAATATATATAATTAAATACATATTATAAAATATAATTTTTTTCAATGATAATAAATATTTTTATTAATTTACAAAATTATACATAATTTATA